CCTAAAGCCCTGAAGCCCTAAACTCTGAAGCTCTAAAGCACGACAGCCCAAAAGTCAAGACCCTAAGCATGTCTTGCTGCTGAGCTACCTTTTGAAGCACCTTCTTTCGCCAAGATTCAAAAGCTATGCTTAAGACCCGCTTGCTGTTGCTGCCCCTTTGTGCTATTAATCCCTGCTACAAAAACCTATATACGATAAACCCGGACCCTATAGACGCCAAACTCTAAATTTAAACCCTAAACCTTAAACCTTCCTAAACCCTCAACTCTAAATTGAAACCTTAACCCTACACTGACACCTCCCTAAACCCTATAAATCCTATAAGCCCTTCAAACCATCCCCCGAGCCTCAAAGTCGGCTGGCAGAGCGCGGCAATGCGCTGCGTGGCGGCGTTGAAGTCTCTGAAGGCCGGGCTGCGGGTTCCGGCTTTATGGGGGTTAGGGTTTAGGCATTGGGGTTTAGGGATTAGGGTTTAGGCATTGGGGTTTAGGCATTGGGGTTTAGGGATTAGGGTTTAGGGATTTGGGTTTAGGGATTAGGGTTTAGGGATTTGGGTTCAGGCATTAGGGTTTAGGCATTAGGGTTTAGGGTGTGGGGTTTAAGGTGTAGATTAGGGTTTAGGGTTTGGGCATTAGGGTTTCCGGTTTAGGGATTGGGGTTTAAGGTTTGGAGATTAGGGTTCAGGGTTGAGGCATTAGGGTTAAGGGTTTAGGGATTATGGTTTAGTGTATTTGTAATTAAAACGCTTCGCGTCGACCGCCTCGGCCCGGCCGCAAACAAAGAGGGCCAACGAACTGCTGGTGCTGAAGGCGCCGTTGGCGGAGCGGATGAGGGGAAGGGGAGGAGATTGCGTTCGGCGGCGCAGCCAGAAGCCAGGCAGGCAGGCGGAGGAGGAGAGGGGTGGAGACTCCCTACGGAGAGCCCAAATCCATTGGAGGAGGCGAGATTTCACCGCAGGACCCTGGGGCTCATTTTCGGGTTCACCCAAACAGACCCCCCCCCCCCCCAGGAGGGTCATTTTGGAGGGTGGGGGTTACTGGGAGGGGATTAGAGGTGGGGTCTAGAGGAAGTCCGAATAGGAACCTCTGACCGCTTCGGCTGGGGCCGAGGCGAATTATTCAGGCCTCCATATTCAACCTCAAACGCCAAGCCCAAAGCTCGCATCCCAGACCGGCCATTAGTCATGGAGCATGACACGTCCTATTGGAAGAATCCTGCTCAGCAGAACCAACGGACAAGCATGTAAAACTTGCAAGTCGTGTGCGGCGACCCTGCAAGGAAAGGGTTTCGGGCTTCGGGTTTCTTCTTCAACCCATAGAACTACAAACTAGTTTTTATTAGTGATTATAGGGTTTAGGGTTAAGTATTGAGGCAGAGGGACGCAACGAAAAGATGCTGTGCTGCCGCCTCCACGCTAAATCCTCTGTCCTGAACCCCCTTGCCCGAAACCTAAACTATGCAACAACCCCAGGCCCAAACCTAAACTTAACCACACATGCAACAACCCCAGGCCCTGAGCCTAAACCGACTAGTCCTGAATCCCAAGCCCCACACAACCCTCAACCTATCTCGCCTACTGCAGGCATCACAGGCAGACACAGTGGGGCCCTTGACTTTCGTGTACGTATTGTTCTTGCCTTTTGGTGGCTCTTGTTGACAGGGCAACTTTTACAGTTTGGCTTTGGAGATTTGTGGATAGGGGTTTGGGCTAGAAAGCGCTCTGAACCCTAATCCCTGGCTAGACGCCCGTGTTTAGGGATGTGGGGTTGAGAACTGGGGTTGAAGATTTGTTGTAGCCAGGGAAGAGTGGAGGTTTCATAGCTTGAAGCTGTACATACAGACATGTACACATGCATACATATACATATGTATATATATATATATATACACATGCACACAAGTGTATGCACATATGTGTATATACACCTTTGTTTATGTGTTTGTTGGTTTGTTTGTTTATTTGTACATTCATTTCAGTATGCACAGATCCATATTGCGTATGCGCACATATATACCAATATACATATGTAAAATGCATATACATGTGCAAGCAGATATGCATGCATGCGTGTATGCATGTGTATACATATATATATATATACACAACATATATATATATACACACATCTGTATATATATATATATATATACATACACACATACTACCGCAGTTCACTGGCCCAGTATGTTGGCAACAGGACTTCTAGCCAATTGCTCAGGCACACCCTGATGTTAGTCTGGTGTGTATCAGTAAACCCTAACTTGAAAGCCCTGCGCCCGAACCACTAAGTCACATGAAACCCTCCAACACCCTTACAAAGCCATAGACTATCTCTAGAACACTCGTTTTTTTATGAATTCATAAATCGCTGCAGAAGCCCTTTATAACCACCTATCGGGTCGTTTAACTGAGCATCCCTAGGTCTTGGACTTCGTTGTCCCGATCATCAATGTCATCCTGCACGCTCCCTGCATGGACCGCCCTGAACCCTAAACCCTAAACCCTGGCTTTAGGGTTTAGGGTTTAGGGTTTAGGGTTGCCCTGGTCTTCAACTCCCCGGTGCTTAGGGTTCGATTCAGAATTCAGGGTTTAGGCTTGGTAGTACTATAGAAGCCAAAATAATTACCAATATCATTCCGTAGGGTTTAGGGTCGCCCTGGTGTTCAACGCACCGGTGCTTAGGGTTCGAGTCAGGGTTTAGGCTGACTGGTATTATAGAAGCCAAAATAATTACCAATATCATTACTTAGGGTCCCTTATGGATAAGGGTCCAAAGGACCCAATAATTAGGTACTCGGTTTTAGGATAGTAGTTGTGTAGGTTAGGATTTGGGAGAGTGTATGATTATTAGGTACTTGGACTTATGGGGTTATTATAACTATACTATATAGGAGGCCAAAACCTTCTTCTGATTAGTAAGGTCCCTACGTTAGCATAAGGTTCAGGGTTTGGTGTGGAGGCTTTAGGGTTCAGGGCTAGGGAGTGAGGGTTTAGGGGAGATGGGAGCGTGGCTCGCTGCAATAGTCCCCTAAACCCTAAACCCCTAAACCCTTGAACCCCTAAACCCTAAACCCTAAACCCTGCGCAATGCCTGAAAACATGCCGGCTTCAGGTTTCGAAGTTTTGGGCTTTAGGGTTGCGGTTTAGGGTGTAGGGTTTCAAAGTTTTAGGGTTTAGGGTTGCGGTTTAGGGTTTAGGGTTTTTTTCGGGGTTCAGGGTTGCGATTCAGGGTTTAGGGTTTAGGGTTTCAAAGTTTAGGGTTTAGAGTTGCGGTTTGGGGTTTAGGGTGTAGGGTTGCGGTTTAGGGTTTACGGTTTCAAAGTTTTAGGGTGTAGGGTTGCGGTTTAGGGTTTAGGGTTTAGGCAGTCTCGGGTTTAGGGTTGCGGTTTAGGGTTTATAAGAGTTTCAATGTTTAGGGTTCAGGGTCGCGGCATGTCCCTCCCAATATTCCCTCCTCCAGTCTCCTTTAGGCACCACGAAGTCCAGGGCGGCGGATGTATTTCAGAAGTCCCCTTCCTTCCTTCCGCAGGCGTATTTCACAGAATACCGGTTTGTAGAAGCCCAATATACTTGCGGTTTCTGCATAAACCCGCTATGTACTTCCAAGACAAGAGCTATGGGGCCCTTAAAGGAAGAAGGTTCACCTCAACCCTAGACCCTAAGCCTTAGACACTAAACCTCAAAGTTGTGACTTTAGTCTTAGAATCTACACCGGGAGCTTATAGTGGCTTCAACAATAACTGTAGGGGCCTAATAATTACCTATACTATTTTGGGGGTTCCTTATCAGCCCGAATCCCTAGTCTAATAATTAAGCCTGTGCTCCCCTAGACCCTAAGCCCTACTTAAATTATTAAGGCTCCTACATTGTCCTCCTTCATTGTCCTCTTCCGTGACTTCTACTCTCAAGACTCTTTGCAATGCTACGCTGTCTCGAGGACGTCTACCCATCCTAGTTATCTCTGAACCTCATACTCGCAATCCCGAGTCCTTGTGTGTATGCGCAAACTATACATATATAAAATACAACTATAAATATAAATATGTATATATATATATATATCGCTTTCGTTATATATATAACATACAAATTATATATATAGATATATACACACGTACTTTTGAGCCCCTCAACCAGCATCCTATGCTCAGGAAGCAATCACGAAAACACCAGAGCAAGACAGCACCCTGCACCCCAAAGCTCGGTTTATAGCTATGGCAACATCCCAAAGCCCAGATCATGATCTTTAGGGTTACCGACTCCGATTCAGCTCTTGCTTTGCAGGAAGTGCGGAATGTGCTGTGGGAATGCTTCGTTTTGGAAGCAGTCGCCTACTTAGTGCGCGAGGGATGTACGGAACTTAGAATTTTCGGCGAATCATGTCACCGAAGACACGGACCTGACATCCATCTCAACATGCCCCAGCTACCTATGTCGTAGGTAACTAGCCTTATGTGACCAACATAGGAAGCCTTCAACCCTATACTCGGCACGATGCCCTGACCCCTGAGTCTTAGTTAGGGCTCCGAGGATGAGCTGCGGCATTGCATGCCTAGAGCCCCAGATGCCCAAGCTGCCCACAAAGTAAGGCGACTCTGAAGAAGACTACATCTACATCCACAGCTCCAAACCTGCATGTAAAGGCCTTCGAACCCTCCACACGTGCGTCTCGCAGCTAGCAGATACATGCATGTATACATGCATACACATGCACTTCTGACAACTGCCAGTGGAGTAGTTGCACCGCTGCTGCTGCCGTGACGGCGGCACGACGACGGCCACTAGTGTCGCTAGTGCGCCAGATCCACTTCCACATGTCGGAACATCTTTTTCCAACCGGCACACATACATGCATGCATCCGTACATGCATACTCGCATAGCATAGATTTGAACACTTCCTTGTCTTACGGTATGCAGCAGACATGTCTTCATACAGCCCAATCAAGCACATGTGGTGTGAGCATCAATGAGTATGCATGTAGACGACGATGAACTTGAGTAGCACATCCGGTGTTTTTTGCCCTAAACCCTAAACCCTAAACCCTAAAACCCGAATAACTACTGAGGTCCGGGTCGATGTGTCCTTTGGGCACCTCTTCTTCTGGGCCCTGCGGGCCGTAGAGTCCTCGCCACAGGCGAGTTTGATCTGGGGGTTTACGGCTTGGGGGTTACGGTTTAGGGTTTAGGGTTCAGGTTTTAGGGGGTTTAGGGTTTAGAGTTTAGGCCTGGGAGGAGGGGGGTTCGCCCTGCATTTGGGGTAAACGACATTGCAAAAAGGTTCGGGAGTTTCGTGAGCTGCACTGGGTCTGAACAGGGCTTTCCCGGGTGTTAGATTGGATGAGTTGTATTGGACACTTTAAACCCTAAACCCTAAGCCCTAAACCGTTGAAGTCTGTGTTTCCAAGCTTTTCGGGGTGTACCTGTGCGAGATCTTCCAACGAAGAGTATTCACCATGGTTTCATGTTATATTCCATTTATGAGGCATTGGTTGACAAGGGCACTTGTATCCCCAATTCCCGCAAATTCTCAAAACCCCTACACCCTACACCCTGGGCACTGAGGGCACGTGAAGACGACATCACACGACATCTAAGTTGTTGGAGCAAGGCGAAGATCGCCGTGCAAACCGATGCGCAGCGGCGAATGCACGCTGTCCAGGGCACTATTTGCTCGAAGGCCTGTTGGGTTTATCGTGTTTACTTATAGAGCCTAAGCTAGGGGTTAAGACTTCAGGGGTTGGTGCACAGATGGGTTTATGAGTTTACAAGTTGCGGCTTAGGTTGCTGTTGTTGGCTGTGACGGTGTGCTGCTGTGGCTGTTCATCTTGAGTTTGGCCGTGTATCGCTGCTTCTGACGTGCGCTTCAGCATACAGCAGTCGAAACCCTAAACCCGAAAGTAAGACCCTCCTAGTCCCAATGAAGGTCAATCTAAAATGTCGCAAAGGTTTACCTCGGGTTTTGATTCTCGACTGTCAGCTCATGGGGAAGCACAGCTGGGGTTTGTATGTACCGGACCGTGTTCGCCAACCTGCGCACAAGCCAGAATAGTTCTGTTATTTTCTGAAAATGAGGGGAGACGATACAACCGACCATAAATGGTAGGATCCTTAAAGACGCAGGCGCCCATAATCCAAACATCACATAGAACAGCGCTGAGGCAGACCCTCTCCCGGGCTAGGTGCCAGGGTCAAGGCGCCCCTATATCCAAGAAGAGACCGCGAAAAAGACTAGAGAACCCTAAACCTTAAATCCTAGACCCTAAACCTTAAATCCTAGAGCCTAAACCTTAAATCCTAGAACCTAAACCTTAAATCCTAGACCCTAAACCCTAAATCCTACACCCTAAACCCTAAATCCTAGACCCTGAAACCCTCAGCAATCTTGCTCTTCAAGTTGCTTGGCGAGGGCTTTTTGTTTCATTCGGCCGGCGGAAGGTCATCTCACGGTGAAACTTAAACACGAGAGACCAGACATCTAATGTAGGGTTTAGGGATTTAGGGCTTCGGCTTTAGGCTTTAGGCTTTAGGCTTTAGGGGTTTAGGGGTTTAGGGTTTCAGGTTTAGGGTTTACGGTTTAGGGCCTAAGTAACTGCCAATACTATTTTGGGGGCTCCTTATTATAGTTATAGTATCATGGGCCCCAAAACCCTTAAATCTGGAGCTGTGCGAACCTATGGCGTATTCAGAACTTGAGCTTGGGTAGTCGAAGCCACCAAAGTACCCCACAGACCCTAAACCCTAAACCCTAAACCCTAAACCCTAAACCCTAATAAAAATCTTTTGCCTTGTAATTACTCCAAATGGATGCCCTAATCTCATTTGAGCAACATGCTCCTTGACCTTGGTTCAAAGGTTTTGGAAGCACTCGACTCAAAACCCCAAAGCCCCAGACCGGACACTTGAAGCCTTAAGCCCTCTGCCTGAACCCTAACTCCTTTTAGCGCAATGCGACTATTAAATAGCCTTATTGATAGACTTTAGACGCCGAAGTCGGTACCAGTTGTACACTTGGAGTCCTTAATGCCCCCTAAACCCTAAACCCCAAACCCCTAAACCCTAAACCCTAAACCCTAAACCCTACCCCAGCACAACCTCAAAGGCCCAGCTGAAGATCACAATGCGCCACCTGGAGGAGGTGCAGCGATTTTCTAGAAAGCAAGATTTCATGTAGCTTTAGGGGTTTAGGGTCCTTTTAAGGGATCTACCAGGGCTTTCGGGTTTAGTGGTTTATTTAGGGTTTAAGGTTTAGGGCATTTCAGGTGGATGCCGGGATTTACATAATAATAAGGGTGCGGTACGGGTGTAGAGATCAAGATTATTTGTGGCTCTTGGTGATTTGGGGCCTCGGTGCGGCTGAGCAGTTTTGAGGGCTTGAACAAATGAAGGGTGTAGGGTTTAGGGGTTTAGGGGTTCAGGGTTTAGGGTTATAGGGTTTAGGGGTTGCGGGTTTAGGGGTTTAGGGTTTAGGGTATATACAACCAGAATACATTGCACGTGGCCTCAGCCTTGAGCGTGGCCGAACCCAAAGTGCCTAATTCATGCAGCATTGTGGTTCTGCAGCTCCACGCAGATGTCGCCCTAAACCCTAAATCCCAAACCCTAAAAGCCTAAACCCATGTGAAGTACAGCCAGGCAAGGATTGGAGTTTCCTCTTGCGCAAGCACCCTTCGCCCAGCAGAAACCCATAACCTCGTTTAGTTAGGGTTTAGGGTTCTCGTTTAGGGTTTAGGCTTGAGGCGACATGGGCTTCGGCTTCTTCAACATTTTGTAGCATCAGTCAAAGACGTCATCTCGACGTGGGAAGCTAGCTCATTATTGATATTTCCGTAATCTGTTGCATAACAGCAGCTACCTAGACACCAACAATTAGATAATTGAACCCTAAACCGTAAACCCTATTGTGGAAACCTGTTAGCTGACAGCCCTAGTGCAATATGTTGTGGAATGGCCCACTGTTTCGTGTAAAGTGCGAGGTGTTGAAATCTGGCGCTTGACGGTTCGGGCGGGGTGCTAGTACCCTTAATAAGGTCTTGGTAATTAAGTATTGATAAGGCCTGTCGGGCCCATCCTGCTTGCTTAGACGCTTGGCTTTCAAAATTTCCGAGACCCAGCGTTCGACGATTCACTACACCCTAAACCCTAAGCCCTAAACCCGAAACACTAAACACTAAACCCAAAGCCCTAAGCCCTAAACCCTGAACCCTAAACCCTAAACCCTAAACCGTCACGGCAGATCCTGCATTTCTTCGAAGGCCAATGCAGCTGTCCGCCGGGGAGAGCGCCTACCGGAGGCCTGCCGGTTACACGGTTTTGGGGTTTCGGGCTTAGGGTTTAGGGTTTAGGGTTTAGGGTTTAGGGCTTAGGGATGTTTTAGGGTTTCGGGCTTAGGGTTAATATGGGTGTCGGAATTGTTAACAATAGTATCCACTCAATGTTCCTCATTTCGATTGTTTTTGTTGAGCACACTTTACCCCAAGACACGGTTGTAAAGCAACAAGGTATCTTGGTTATGCACGTAAGGCTTCTGATAAGCAACAGGGACCCTAAAACCCCATAGTACCCTTATAGAAAGCCCTATAGACATCCTTACACGTCCCTTGATATAAGGAGCAGCTCTTTGTAGTAATGGTCGTTGCCGGGGGCTCTCGGGTCAGGGGCCATGTGCCCAAAAAGTATATACTTTGGCCTGAAAGTAGTCCCTATTTAGGTACTTTAGGGCCCTTAGGGCTAAGACATTGTCAAAAGGGGCGTGGTCTTGGGGTTCTTCGTGGGCATCATCATGTCGTTTGTTTAGTAGGAGTGCTGGCGCTATCTCATGCCTCCTGGGTGAGCGATTTCCATAGAAGGGTTTCTTCTCTACCGGAAGTCTCCAGTTATGCTGATTAGGGTTGATGCGTTTGGGGTTAAGGGTGAGGGGTTTGGGGTTCAGTGTTGTCTGGAATCTTGCCCAGTCTAGGTAAACCGCACTAATCAGTCTGGTGCTTAGTAGGGAATGGGGGAATGGGTTATAGGGACTACCTATAAGGGACCTTAAGGGACTATCATAGGGATCCATTCCCCCATTCCCTACTAAGCACCAGACACTAATGGGTCTTGATGCTACAAGAGGCAAGGTCGACAAAGGCATCCCGGACCCTAGAACACGACAAAGTCTGCTCCAACCCGTCCAGTACCATTGCAATCAAGCGCACAGTCTAATCGTTCAGGCCCCGAAACTATATATATATATATATATATACACACACACATGCACATATTGTAGATATAGAGAGAGGGAGAGACATATGTATATATGAATATATACAGACCCTATAAGCGAGGCCATAAGCTCATGCCCAAGCCCCTTTTCACTATTCTAACTATGCAGCCCTGTATCAAAGCCTTATATTTTTTTTAATCCAACAGCCCAAACTCGAAGCTGTAAACCCTAAACCTATAATAAGCCCTAAGATTCACGCCCTAAACCCGAAACCCTTAAACCGCCCAAATGTGGTGCTTTGCTCCTCGCAGCGAAGATCCACCCCAGCTCTACGCGGCTGCAGGTCCCGAAAGCAGACCCGAACCGAGTCAGAGTCTTAGTTTCGGTTTCAGGCTATAAGGTTTGGGGTCTAGAGGGTTGAACTCAAACCTGAGTTCGAGCTGTAAGCATGATCCCTAAAAACCTAAACCGCTAAACCATAAACTCTGGATCGAGTATTCTAGGGCTGCTGCATTTCTACGGTGGATTTAGGCTCAGGGATTTGTTACTACTGAGACCGGGGGGTTCATCTCGGAGATTGTTTATTTGGGTTCGGGGTTTAGGATTTAGGGTTTAGGGTTTTGGGTTCAGGGTTTAGGGTTCAGGGTTTAGGGTTATGGGTTTAGGATTGTTCTTGCAGTGTCTACAGCTCTCTGTTGAGGGACGAGGCTCAGCGGGTCTTCAAGTCGTGACCATGGTGCTGAGGTCCCTGCATCACTTTCTAAGCCCCCAAAAAGGTAAGCGAAATACTGGCCCAAAACCTGCAAACTGTTATAGATCACTTTCTAAGCCCCAAAAGGTAATTAAGTGAAATACTGGCCCAAAACCTGCAAAATGTTTTTTTGTTGATGATTTTTCGGGTCAAGATTAGCCATACTTGCTCAAAAGCCTGCTTCCAATCATTGAAGCGCATACCGTTACAGCCAAGGTCAGTCCCCTCGTAGATGTTTGCGAGAGGCTGGCGTATCCGTCACCCCCCCTGTCGTTCAGTACTTCTGTTTTTGTTCAGGGGTCCGGGTTTCCGGTTTTAGGGCCTGCCTTAAACTACCAAAACCTACTTTTTTGTAGGGTCCCTATAAATTCTATATTAGGGTTTATAATAGGGACCTACAAAAAAGTAGGTTATGGTAGTTCAAGGTGAAGGGTAATTGCAGGCTTGATTGTTAGAGTACAGTTGCGGTCATTCCTTGGTGCCCGAGAGGGTCATCCGGCGTCTGACAAGTTCTTCCCATGGGATACCAGAGGGAACCTACGGGTGGAAGGTGTCGGAAGTTTAGGTTTCAGGGTTTAAGGGCTTTGGGTTCAGGGTTTAGGATTCTCTTCGAACCTAGGCTTGGGCTTAGGAGCTCGGGCTTGTGGTTAAGCGCTCAGGGCTAAAGGTCGCCCTTCCTCCCTAAACTCCGCAGCTTCCGCTGCTCTGTGAACCCGAGGAAAAAGGCTCGTGCTGTTGAGCTCCATGGCATCGTGCGATGTGTGACTGTGCAGCTTAAAGGCTACCTGACCAAAAGCAGCCCATACCTACGAAGCTTTGTAGACACCCGGGATCCCTTGCAGGAACCCAAATTAGCATCTGGCTAACCAAGCGGGTCCAGAGTTTCGAAGGCAAAGGAGCCGAAGCCAGTGTATTGGTGCCCGAGTTCATTCCGGCATCGTATAGTCTGACTTGAGGTTTAGAGTTTAGGGTATGCTGGATCCGAGCAGGGTAGTGAAGGATTTAAGTGTATAGAACATCGTACAGCTCACGCGCCATGACCACCTACCCACAGCACGATGTCTACGTGGAAGACGAGGACGGTGCATTATCCGAAATGCCGTTCAATGCGCCCGGGACGCAATCGAAAATCACAACTCCCAGCGATTCTCACCCACCCTAAACCCTAAACCCTAAACCCTAAACCCTAAAACCCTAAACCCAAAAACTCTCATCGTCCAGTTTTTCGTCATCTGGGTTTGAGGTTCCTGGGACCTCTGGTTTGCACGAAGTCCCGAACCTGTCATCCCAAATCCCAAACACTGAAATCTAACCCCAAAGCTTCGCAGTAAAATTGGGGCCTTAATAGTTATTATATTATACTAAAATTATAACAAGGAGCCCCCAAAACCCTGTTCTAATTATGAAGGCCCCTACATTAGAAGAGTCCACGGGCACCCAAAAGGCTGTGAGGACCTCGAAGCCCTCGTCTGCCCAGCAAGGCCCGCATAGGACCGATGGACTTACAAGACCCCAATTAGGGTTTCGGGGTTTAGGGGTTTGGGGTTTAGGGGTTTAGGGTTTGGGGTTCAGGGCGGTTTAGGGGTTTAGGGCGGTTTAGGGTTTAGTGTTTAGGGGCTTGTTTTTTTTCTTTTTCTGAAGTTTCAAGTGTCCAGACCTTCCAATGTCCCCTACTTGAGGAATAGATATTAAATCATACTAGGGATCCTACTATAGTTCAAGTTATATATATATATATATATATATATCCAGAAACCCTAAATCCTAATCATGCATTGATTAAGGGGTTTGGACCAGATACCTTCAGTCAAAGGCTGGAAGTCCGGCTCTCAAGTATGGGCGCCTAGGCCCAGGCCTTGAATGGGGGATGCTAGGGACCCTTAAAGGTACAGATACGGTTTAGGGTTTAGGGTTTGGGGTATGTAATAGACATCTAAAGAGGTATAGGCTGGTCTACTATAAGCAGGGTATATCATAGGGTAGATAGTAGGTACATATAAAAAGGTAGACATTGGTATATAACAAGTAGGGTATATCATAGGGTTTAAAACCCTAAACCCTAAACCCTCATCCCTAAACCCTAAACTCTACATAGGGGATCCCAGGGTTCAGGGCCCATCGCTAGGGGGTCCCATGGTTTTAATATTAGCTTTCCACTTCTTAGCCCGGGAAGCCCCAGATGGTAAACACGCAATTTCTCCTGACACCCCGGGGTTTTCGGTTTGTCATAAGGCTCCCTGTATACTGTATAACGGGTTCTATAGCGGTATAGGTTTTAGAGTTTAGGGTTTAGGGTTTCGGCTTTAGGGTTTAGGGTTTAGGGGTTTAGTTAGGGCTTCGGCTTTAAGTTTTAGGGTTTAGGGGTTTAGGGTTTACGGTTTAGGGTTTGGGGTTTAGGGTTTCGGTTTTACGTCCAAAATTTAGATGTTTGAGGTTCAGGGTTTTTAGTTTCGGTTTTTTCGGTTTAGCGTTTTGGTTTTAGGGTTTAGGGTTTAGGGGTTTAGGGTTTAGGGGCAAGCTCAAAGCCCCATGAGAGTTGAGCCTTCATGTACTCCGCTTCCCCTTAAGTGTAAACGGGAAGACAACCCGACAACCCTGACCCTAATTGAAAACCCTAAACCCCTAAACCCTAAACCCTAAGATTTCTTGAACCCTTAATCTAAGGTTGAACCCATGGGCCCGTAACATGGGCCCTTAGGGGATTCTAGGATCCCTCAAGGGTAAATATAGGGTATATAGTAGTTATACTAGGGTCCCAGGGTTAAGGGCCCATACTAGTGGCCCATGGGTTCTACCTTAGACTTAAAGCCGCCGTTGAAGGAACCCTTAAACTTTTCAGGAACGTGGTATAGAAACCACAATAGGGACCCTGTAAAGGTAGGTCTTTTCAAATACAGGCAATCCCTACGCCTAAATCTAGCACATTTTCAGGTGGGTAGTTACCATTAATTATAGGATCCTTATAGAAGGTCTAGATACCCTATGGAAGCCTTATAGAAGCCCTATATACCCTAAACTCCCCACCTCTAGTTTCCTTTAACCAAAGGGGTCTCCTAAACCCTAAACCCTAAACCCTAAACCCTAAACCCTAAACCCTAAACCCTAAGAGGGGTCCTAAGGTTGCCCACGCCCTGGTGCGCCTGGGCTGGCATACCGCCTGGTCGGCTGCACTTCGAGCGGAGGAGGTCCGGCCAGGGGATTCATGCACTAAAGGTTTAGGGTTCAGGGGTTTAGAGTTTAGGGGTTTATGGTTTTAGGGTTTAGGGTTTAGGGTTTAGGGTATCCATGCATTTATGGCTTTAGGGTTTTAGGCAGAATGGGTTCAGAGTTTAGGGTGCAAGTAGTTATAATATGTGTGTAAGTATCTATACCTATATAAAAGGCTCTCGTAGTCTTTAGTCCCAAGCCCTTGACCGTCCTCCTTCACCCTAAATCCCTAAGCCCTAAAACCCGAAACCCCGAAACCCCTAAGCTTTAAATCACTTAACCCGAAACCCCTAAGCTTTAAATCCCTAAACCCGAAACCCCTAAGCCCTAAAACCCTAAACAAGGGTTTAGGGTTTAGTTAATCAGTGCTTTAATTGGAGTTTCTGTTATTTATTAGTTCTTAGTATGGTTACCTCATTTTCACCCTGGTTACTAAGCAACATGATCCTTTAAGTCATCGTACACGACCCCTTTAAGGAACCCCTTAAAAATTACGAAGCTCCCATGGTCCGTTGAAGTACCCTAAACCCTAAACCCTAAACCCTAAACCCTAAACCCTTTAAGGAACCCCTTAGATTACGAAGCCCCCATGATCCGTTGAAGTAGACCCCTGTGAACACCCAAGGCGGCTTTCCAGGAAGCCGGTGAGGAATTTGCAAAGCGCAAGCAGCTGGGCCAGCATGGCTTAGGGTTTAGGATGTAGGGGCTTTGTGGGTTTGGGGTTTAGGGTTTTGGATTTTTCAATTTTTTTGCAACCTAGGGGTGTAATGAGTTAGCACTGTTGTTTCACATGAGCTTTTTCGTTCGGGCTGTTTCAGAGGTCTAGGGTTTGAGAACCTAGGGGTGAGAGCGTTCTTGTTTGGTGTCCAGGGCGGAGACTTGCCCAGTGAGCTCATTAGGGTGTTTAGGGTTCAGGCCCAAACTCTTCGCGCTAAAGCTTAAACCAGATCTCTTATGAAGACCCTAAACATTGCGAGACGCAGTCATACTAAGGGAGCAAGTTGAGGGTTGAGGGTTTAGGGTTGAGTGAGCGAATTTGGCAACACCCGAAACCAGAATCCATCAACCCTAAACCCTAAACCCTAAACCTTACACCCCTAAAGCCCTAAACCCTAAACTGTGACCCTAAACCCTAAACCCTAAACCCCTAAAAAAAACCCTTAACTGTGAGCCTCACCTCAACACCCACAACAACGGGTTTAGGGTTTAGGGTTTAGGGTTTAGGGTTTAGGGTTTGATCCCTTTCGCCCAAAGCCCTGCGCCCACCGTCAGGCACCCAAAGCTTTCAACACGTACAAAACTTTCATAATCCCTTTGCACAACTTTCACAACAGAACTATGGCAAACACTAGCTTGTTTAGAGTGCTTCCGGTTTCGGCTTAATTCTGGCTTTTGGGGCCCCTCAAAAAAATTGGCAGCCCGAACCCCTTCCAAAAGTCATCCTCCTCTGCTTGTCTAGAGAGCCCCCAAGCTAAAAAGTAAACCCTAAAACCCTAAAGCCTAAAACCCTAAAACCCTAAAGCTCCAAACCCTAAAACCCTAAACCCGGACCCATAACTTCTGTAAGCAAGGCAGGATCACAAGAAGCTGGCCAAAGAGTCCAGGGAGGCTTGGCAAGCGTTGGCTTTGCCTTGGGCCAGCGGACCGCGTGGCGGCCGGGAGGGCGGCGAGTTTGTGTTTCCTGGCCTGACAGCACCACCACCGCCACGGCCACGGCCACCGCCAGCACCTCCACTCCAACCGAGGTCATCGTCATCATTATCAACATCATCAGCATCATCATCATCATCATCAGCATCATCACCAACAACATCACCAACATCAAAGATATCAATAACATCATCATCATCATCGTCGTCGTCATCATCATCACCATTATCATCATCGCAACCATCACCATCACCGTTATCATCAGCATCATTATCACCGTCACCATCACTACCATCATCATCTTCATCATCAGCATCATCATCATCATCAGCAGCAGCAGCAACGCAGCAGCAACATCAACATCATCACCGTCACCGTCACCCTTACCATCACCGTCACTATCACAATCATATTCATCATCAACACCACCATCGTCATCACCATTTCCATCAACATCATCATCGTCATCTTCGTTCTCACCATCCGATGCGTCCATCAGTATCAACTGTAGCATGAGCTACGCGACGGTCGCTTTTGTTGGTATCTTCAGCTTCGCCAGCATCGGCGGCTCTTGTTTGGCAGCAGTGATCGTCATGTCAATGTCTGGCCTCAGGAGGACTGCTTCATTCTTCAAACGGAAAAAACAGGTTCTGGGCTCGACAAACAGTATATATTATAGCCGAACAGCCCTGAACGACGGGTTCCAATGGGCAAAAGCTGAGGTCACAGGTGCAAAACCTGGCGAAATCTGCAGCAGACCACTGCGTGGCCATGAGGATCTACAAAGAAGACTCAGCCAAAAACACAGCCAAGCTACACGAGCCCGCCAAGGAGGCGTATTCTCAGTTTGAGACGGCTACCAGGTTCCATTCAGGTTCCGTTTTTCCAGTCGGTTCTCTCGTGCGTTGAGGTTCGGGATCTGTCGCGTTTTCACTCGTGGGTTTGTGATTATTGAAGATGATGACCCGTACAGGAACCCTTATAAGAGCCCGTTCCTGCCCTCGCTTGTTGAACCCTCAACGCAAACCCCAAACCTTAAACCCTCTAGTACCCTGATAGTAGCCCTCACAGTAGCCGCGGCAGTAACCCCCAAGAATATCGTCCGAGGATCCTAGTAGCTAGTAGCCCTGATACTTAGCAGCCCTGAATAGGGTTTAGGGTTTTAGGGTTTAGGGTTTAGGGTTAAACCCCAAGTGCGGAACCGAGGCCAGTCGTGTACTGGAAGAAATGCACGCCGTGCTGGCCCATGCCTTGTACAAGCGCATCGTCGAGTTGCTTTGGGCTGTCAGCTGGCACCTTGGTGGCTTCGGGTTTGGGGTTAATAAACCCTGAATCCTAAAAACGGGTGCACATCCTTATGCGGTCGGGGTAACCTTTCGTCCTTGTGGGCTTCTAGCATCGTAGCACCTTCAAACGAATGACCCTCTTGTGGCCAGCATTTTCGTCGGAACAGTAACTGGGGACAAGCTCCAATTCTTCAACTATGCTTGGCCATGTCGTTGAAGAGTTACCCCACAATTATGTACAATAATGGCTGTTTATAGGTTTTTGGGCCATTTCGTTTACCTAGCTTGAAGGGTTTAGGTAACTCTGAACAAACCTTAACCTTAACTTAACCTAAACCTCATCCTTGGCCTCTGCACAGCATCGACTGAGGCATGTTGCCAACACGGTGGCTGCCAAGCGGGAAGAGCAGGAGGAGGAAGAGGAAGAGAAGGAGGAGGATGCAGAGGAGGACGAGGAGGAAGGAGAGGATGAAGAGGACGAAGAGGAAGACGAGGAAGACGAGGAGAGCTCGGTGTAACACACAGCATCATCAAAACCCTGTCTCTGCAACCCGTTTATTAGTACAGCAACGGGTATAAATGACATCCTCTAGGGTTCTTCGGCTCTTCATATGACCCCATTATGCCTGCGCCTAAACCCTAAACCCTAAACCCTAAACCCTTACACCATACCTTCAGTGGTGAGTGGTGTGCAGTGCATTGTACAGCAGCTCGGGCAGGCACTGAAGCTTTTGCCTGAAGTCTCGGGCAATTGACGGAAACACCCCTCCAATAAAGACTGTACCAAGACGATAAATCAAGCATGAACAAACCCTATGTTACATATATATATATATATATATACACATATGCAGATGTGATACCTGACAGACATATGCATATGTCTCCGCCTTGTTGTTTGTTTGCGTATGTTGACTACCTCTACCTTCAAGGATGTAAGAAATCCCAGGCCCGGTCCAGAGTTGATCTGCTTGCAGGAAGTAATATTAAAGGGGCCTAAATAATTACCTATACTATTTTGGTGTTTTTTTATTATGAGTTATAGTCTAATATACCCCAAAACCCTATTCTACTACTTGCTTGCAGGAAGCACTCTTCGGAAAGGATTATCCGGGCTCCTCGGACGATCCCATAGAGGACATGCGAGGCAAGACGGGGCAAGGGGTATGGGGTTGACGATTTAGGGCTTAGGGTGTAGGGTTTGACGATTTAGGGCGAGTTCAGGACAGGCCTTGAGTTCCTATGTTCTAGATTCTGAGCTTTAGGGTTTACCTATAGGCCCTAAAGTGGTTCTTTTTTGGGGGTTCATATATAGAATCCTATAAGGTAACCCCAAAACGGGACTACTATGGGGCCTAGGGGTAGGTGCATCTTAGAGTCAAAGATCATGACCAACAACATCAATGATCCCAATCCTTGCCTTCCAAGTCGATGGTCCTAGAGGTGCATGTAGCTACATGGTATGTACAGTAAATTGGGCTTCAACGGGCTCATATGAATGTAGTTCAACAACTCAAAATAAAAACATGCTATAGTGATAATGAGATGCTGACCCCTAAGCCCTATAAAAACCCTAAACCCAAAGACCCTGAGCCGAAACCCCGACATCCGTATGGCTGGAGAGGTATCCTCGGGGTGCTTCACGACCTCTTTGCCCACAAGGAGCCACTGTTGCACTGGAGCCTTCAAAGCTGGTTTAGGGCTTTGGGTTTTCAGTTTAGGGTTGAGGAGTTGATTGATGTCAAGCCGTGGGGGGGGGGGGGGGGGGGNNGAGTTTAGGGCTGTTAGAAATTTGGTGGGGTTGGGGCATCTTGCTTTAAGGATGTAGGCCGCCAACTTTTAGGCATTGAGCCATTGAGCCTGGAATTGTAATTTTATCGTCCTGGTGTGATTAGTACTTCACACAAAAAACCCGAACCTTGCCTGACTGTTAAGGCCAGTACGCATTGAATTGGTTGGGTGGAGAAAGCTAGGGTTTCGAGGTCAGGCTCCGCTGCTGCTCGCGGTTTTGTTTATGTGTTTGATATATGCGTATACACATACACTTATGTATTTTTGCATATGTATGTATGTATGTAT